TTTTTCCAGCCTGGTCCTTGGACGGTCTCCTCTGGCTTCACTTGTCCTGGCTGCAGGACGAAAGCTGCCCTGGGGAGGAGCCAGAGTAAGTTGAGATGAAGGTCAGAGCCCTGCGTCAGATGCCCTTGCTCACAGGAATGGGGAACCCTGGAGGCCCATGAGCTTCTCCGTGCCATCCCGATGCTGTAATTACCCGAGGTTTTGAACAAATCCCTGATCCAGAATGTGCTTCCTGACTTGGAATCGGGCCAGTTGCTCCCTGAGCGGTAGTGGTCCTGAGGACGCTGGGTTCCTGTGGCGGGACAGAGAAGGCTGTCTGTTGACTCACTGCTCCCTTGGCCCAGCCTCCCACCTCCGGGACCCAGTGGTGGCTAAGAGGACAGCGTCCAGAGCCAGGCAGCCTGGGCTCCGGCCCCATCCAGCAGCCTCCCTGTCCTTGTAGGCCGGGGAGGGTGCAGGTCAATATGCAAAACACTTAGAACAGTGCCTGGCAGGGCACAAGCTCTTGGTCAACATTTCATCATTAGGACCTTGAGCAAGTGATTACCTTCCATGAGCTTGGTTTCCTCATCTACTTCCTCCTAGGGTGACTTTGGAGATTAAATGAGCTAATACTAGTGAAGTGCTCAGCACACATGCTGAACGTGATAAAAAAATCTTTCTACTATAAGATTATTGAGCCTAGTTGGCTGCTATTGTGGCATGAAATGTCACTTTTACAAGTTTCCCGGTGCTGGTGATTCTGATGGTGTCTCCAGAGTCTGCTGAAGCCTTCCCATCCCTTGGCCTCTGGCCACCCCCAGCATAGTACGCACCTCTGCCCTTCAGAAGGTCAGGTTGCTCACCATCCAGGCACCAGGTGGAACAAACTGCAGACTCTTGGAGGCAGGCAGGGTGGCTGCCCAAGGCCTGGGGTGTGGACTTGTTGGCTTTTTCCACCACAGAAGGGGCAGCAGTGGCCTGAATGCCCATGAAACCATTTACTGTCTCATGCTTGCTGGTCTAAGAAACCTGTCTCTGCAGACCTTTCAGCTCCTACCGGAGACCCCTGGGCATTCCTGGGGTCTCACAGCTGCCCTGGAATGCACCATTATCATTCTTGTCCTGCTTCCCTTCAGTGGGGAGAGCTGCTTCCTGGCCCCCCATCCCGACCACTGGAAGGTCCATAGGAATCACTTCCCCCTCTTCCCCAGGAGTCCAATAAGCAGACAAGTCCCAAACTGGTTGCCTCCTCTGCTTCCTCCCACCCAGGCCTTCTCTCCTGCTCTGGGTTTTCCAGCCAGACACCGAGGCCCCTAATCAATCCATTCGACTTAAAGGTGTTTCTCTCCATGGCAATTGATCTTGCCAGCCATGAGGGATTACATTTGCTGTTGTCAGAGCTGCTGGGATAGTTCTTCCCTAGGTGGCTGTCCCAGGGCAGAAAGAAACCTTTTTGCAGTCTGGCAGGCTGTAGAGCACCCACATGATGGTGCTGGGCTCCCCTGTGACTCCCCCTCCTCCTTCAGTTTTCCCCCAGCCACCTGTTGGCCTGTTGTGAGGGTAACCTGCTGTGTGGACAGAATAGGTATTGCTGACCATCGGAGCTGTCTTGAGACTGTAAACACTAGGTGCTGAGCTATGTCACTGTTGCTCAGCATAGATTCTAGCAGTAAGAAGAAGAGCCCTGAAGCTCTCCCCACCCCTGCAGCCCACTTAGGACAGGCTAGTGTGTCCCTGGGGCCTGACATCCCCTCATGGGACGAGGCTTGGCTGCTGTGCCTGGTAGGAGAAGCAAGGCCCTGTGAAGTGTGCACAGACTCCCTCTGTGTGAGCACTGTGCCTCCTTGTGAGGCTTCCTGACCCACACATCTGCTGCCCTGCACACAACGGGGCCGTGTTCCCTCCCCGGGAGGGACCCTGTTTCTACAGCCAGCCACAGGGAGCAGACAGCACTGGGAGGGTGGAGTGGGGGGAGGGAGGGAGAGGAGGAGCCTAGTGCCCAGACTCTGCCGCGTGCCTAAGTCCCCACATCTTCCGGGGCCCGGAGCCCCCACACTGCTTTTGGAAGTCTTCCATGTACCAGGAACCATTTAGGGGCTGGGGGTACAGCAGCAGCCAGAGAGGCAGAACCACTTCCCTCTTGGTGTTGACATTCAGGATAGGATGGATAACAGACAAGGAAAACATCATGGTCAGGGGCCACCAAGTAGCTGAGTACACGAGAGGTGTTAATCAGGGGAGACTGGAATAGGGTGGCAGCAGGAAGGGGACTGGTGAGCAGAGACCCATAAGGGGTGGTGGTGAGGGGTCCAGTTCCCAGCAGTGAGCGGGTGCTCAGTCTACGTTTGGACCCAGGATGAAGTAAAGGCTGTCTTAGTGGCCTGTAGGGAAGGCTGGGAGAGGACACTGCCCCACTCAGGCACCCCACCTTCAGCTCAGCAATGCACTCCTGGCTCCTGCTGCTCTGGCTGTATGGGGCCTCCTCCCTACCCCTCTCTGTTCAGGAAAAGGCGCCTTCTCAGCCACACCCCTCCCTTGCTGGGCCCTGGTCAGCCCATTTAGGAAGTGTCTCTGCTTCTGCTCTCCAGCTGTAGACTCCAGGAGGGAGACCAGTTACTATGGAAGCCCCTTCCTGGCGTCTGCCCCAGGACTTGGGCAGGAGAGAAGGCCCACTCGGACTTCGGGCCCCATCTCTGCATCCACAGCTGCCTCCTGCGCCTCTTCTGCATGTGTAGCTGTGCAGCTTGGGCTCTGCTCTTGCCCGGAATCTTCCCGATCAGGCTGGACCAGATGGCAGTCATCAGAAGAGCCAGCTCAGGTGTCAGAGCAGCTGGGGGATGGAGTTACACACCCCGGAGACCGGACACTCCTGGCTTATGAGCTGGCAGCTGCTTGCTGCTGGGGGAGGCATGGCCCCCACCTCCTTATCCTGTGCACTGCCACCTCTGCCTGGCCCTCCCAGCTCTGTGCCTGTATGGGAGAGAGGTGCCTGGGGTGCCGTATAGCAAACTCACTAAGGACACAACAGTCAGCTAGACCTGGTTTGGCCCTTAGGAGCTGCACAGACAGGACACCTAACCTCTCTATACCTCAATTTTTCTCATCAGGAAAGTGGGCTAGTAGCCATTTCCTAGGGCTGTTGCTGGAAGCGTGTGGCCTGTGCCTGGCACGTGGTAACCACCGAGGAAGTGACAACTGGCGATCATCATTGTCACCACCACTGTTGTGGATGGAGTTTGGTCTGGGTGGGGTGTGGTTGTCACATGGGGCAGAGAGAAGTGAGTCCTGGGCTCGGCTGCTCTCCCAGTGGCTGCTCAGTGATGCTTCTTGAACAAAGGCTGGCACTGGAGCCTTAGGGAGGCTGCGCTGGCAGAGGGTCGGCAAACAGATGGCCAAGGGAACCTCCCAGGTCTGGCTCCCTGAGGCTTTGGGAGTAAGAGAAGCCAGAGCCTCTCTGGATTTCTCCCAGGACCCTGGGATGGGATGCCAGGAGAGTGGCCCCCTGAGCAGCCCACTGTGGGGTATGCAGCAGCCCCAGCACTCCTACAACCTGGCAGATGGGGCCACCCTGGGCTCTGCGGGAGCAGGGGGCTGGGCTGGGTTCAGAAGCTGCATCTCTGATCAGAGAGGACTGCCTTTGCTCCCATGGGGTTGCTTTCTTACTGACAGAGGAAGTCTCCCAGTCTTGCCAAGTAGCCCAAAAGTCCATTCATAGCAGACGTGTATGAACACGGCTGGGCAGTTACATTGTATAGAAGCCAGAGATGGCTAGCGCAGTGGCCTCCAAGCTAAGAAGAAAGCAAGCATCATGGCTGCCCCTTGGGGCTCCCTTTGCCCTGTCCCCTTCCCACTCCTGCCCGAGTCAGACCACCATACCAGTGTGTCCTGTTGACAAGGCATTGACCTGCAGGCTCAGGTCCTGGGCTGCAGGGTAAGCACATATGGCACCCCCACCCCATGCTCAGCCCATTGCAGGCTCTAGCATGGCCTGGGGGGGTGGCCAGCCAGTGTGGGCCCCAGTAAAGGACCATCCTTCCCTGCAGTGGCATGGCAGGTCTTCTCCATCCACAAACACGGATGTCCTCAGCTCAGTGCTGAGCAGGTAGACATAGGCTTGTACAGTCTGCCCGCAGGTGGAGAAGTAAAACCCATCCACAAGTAAACCCGGGGTCGACTATAGTTACTGGGTGAGTAGAGCCAGTAGCAACAGTAAGTGCCAGGGACCTTTGGTGAGGGAGTAGCTCCATTCGAGAAGCCTTGGGCTGTGCAGGCACTGAGCTAGGGGGAGGAGACAGGACCCCAACAGGTAGAGATGGGAGAGGACCTCTGCCCAGAATGCATTGGCTGCTTGCTCAGGGCCCAGGTGGCAGCAGTAGGTATCCTAGGTGGATCCCCCCACTTCCCGTGGCTCTAGTAGGGCCATGGTCACCATCTGCTTCAGTGAGGGTGGACACTGAGTCAGGACTCATCCCCTCCCAGGAGGGAGGTGGCCTGTGTGACAGATGGGCCACAGGACCTGGGTTTGTCCTGGTTCTCAGTGGAGTGGCTGTGTGGCCTTGCCCTATAGTAATGTGTATGTGTAGGGGGTGACACGTATCTTCATGGGGTGTCCTGAGGGCTCAGGAGGGACAGGATAGAAGATGCCATGTTGTTGCCACTGGCTGCTACCCTGGGGCCCAGGGCCGGCCTCACCTTCTAGAGTGAGCTAACCATGTGCAGGTGTCCTAGACGTGTCTCCTGCAGCCACCAGCAGCCACCATCCAGCCTCTGTCCTTACTTCGCAGCCGCCTGAAGACTCCTAGTGGCTTTTTGGCATTGAGCATTGGCTCCGTTTGAGCTGCACATATCCCGCAAAGGAAAGCGTCTTCAGAGCTCTGGTTCGCTTAGATTGAGAGAATAGCCTTTTCCTCTGCATCTTTACACCTGCCTCCTGCTGGCGGGAAGAATCTGTCCTGTGTGCCTTCTGGGGAAGTCGGCCTGGTGGGTCTCTGAACTGTGCCTCTTCTGTTCCCTTCCAGGCCATCAGCATCAGCAAAGCCATCAACACCCAGGAGGCCCCTGTGAAGGAGAAGCATGCCCGGCGTATCCTCCCTCTGGGTGCCGCGGGGAGGAGGGGGCAGTGTGAGGAGGGCAGGGGGCGCTGCAGGTGGCCGCATCTGCCCTCGCTGGGACTGAGGCCTGAGGAGGCGGGTGCTGGCTCCTGGCTCCTGGCTCCTGTGGCCTTGGGCCCGCCGGCCTCCTGCCTTGCCCCTTTCCTTTCAGATTCTGCGGCCCAGCTGGGGACCACCATTTATCACCTTAGGCTGTTGAGCCTGGTTAAATTTGCGAGGCTTGACCTTGCTTGTTTGCTTGACTTTGGCTGAAAACCACAGGATCCCGTGAACTGTGGCAGATGTGGAGGGAGAGGGATGTTGGGAGAAGGTGCTGGGCGCCATGAGCCTCCCCCTGCATCACGTAGCTGTATTCGCTGGGTACCCCAGCCTTCTTCCCACTTGAGCCTGCTTCCTGCACTTGGCCTTGACCCTGCTAGGCATCATTCTGGGCACTCACCACGAGAAGGGCGCCTTCACCTTCTGGTCCTACGCCATCGGTCTGCCACTTCCCAGTAGCTCCATCCTCAGCTGGAAGTTCTGCCACGTTCTCCACAAGGTCCTCCGAGACGGGCACCCGAATGTGAGTAGCCGCTGTCCGCTGGTCCCGAGCGGGCAGGTCTCCCGGGCCTCCGTCTGCTGCTGCCCGAGCAGGCTGCCCCCCCAGGGAGGCAGAGCAGCATGCCTCAGAAATGAGAGGTTGTCCCCACATCTGCCTGCTGCCCGTCCCTCCCCACGCTCAGCACGCTGGCGAGCACAGGGAGGGCCTCCGTTGGGACCCTGCCCATGCAGGTCTGCTGCTTCATCCTTGTCCCCTGTCCTGTCTCGTGCTACAGGTCCTGCATGACTGCCAGCGCCATCGGAGCAACATTCGGGAGATCGGAGACCTGTGGGTAGGTGCGGGGAACAAGCACAGTGGCCTTAGTGCCTTGCACAGTCCACCGGGTCTGGAAAGTCCAGCCACGGTCCTGCTCGGCATTCCATCCCCCTGTGGGGCCAAGCGAATGGGCGCTCCCTGATGGTGGGCGTCTCTTCCCTCTACCACATTCTACTTCCCGAATCCTGGCTTCTTGACCCACCCCAGGGTTCCCTGCCACAGTGGCTCGAGGGTTTGCAAACTGTAGCTTAGAGTTTTGTAAAGGTACTTCAGAAGTTCCATTAGCATGTGAGTCAAATGTGCTTGATACCAAATCCTAACCCATTTCACTTCCCCCAGAGCAGAAGTTAGGATGTTATCTGGAGATGTTGGCCTTGCTTTTAAGGCCTCCTATAGGAAATTTCATTAACCAATGCCCCCCCCCCCCCCCCAGCTCCAGACCTGGAGCAGCCTTTCAATCGCTGTGAGTTGGGAAATTGTGGCAACACCCAAGTCTGGGTGTCTGACTGACAGGTACAGCCAGTGTGAGGGGTACAGACTCCTTGCTGCGCCTCCGACCTGAAGACTGGCTGCTTTAGGATTTCCAGATTAGAAACTGGGGTCAAAAAAACTCCCCAGAAGATTTTTATAATTGATTTTTTAATTTAAACTCAATGAACATATAGTATATTATTAGCCTCAGAGGCAGAAGATTTTTCTCTACAGTAAAGTTTGAGAACCCCAAGAGCTTGTATTCTAGGTCCTCTTCAAGACCCTCAGGGAATGTGGGGGCTGTGAGGAGGGCTTCTGGCCTCATTTGTCTTCTGGGAGGACTGTTGGGAACTGAGCAGAGGGAAGGCAGGACAGGGCATGGACTCCTGTTTCATGGATGTCCCTTGAAGTGAAAAAAACAGTGTCCATGGTGCCCAGCTGGTGTGACCACAGGGGACACGGTGTTTGGAGGTGACAGGGGAGGCAGCTGGGAGGATATGTACATGCCCCGGGCAGAATGTGCCTCCCTGGCTGCCACCAGCATTTTAATGAAGTGTCCCAGCTCAGAGTTGGCCTGCTGCCCCGGACAAAGAGCCCTCTTCTCAACAAGAGTTTCTTTGGCAAGAAGGACTAGGAGTAAGATTAAATTAAAAAAAAAAAAAGTTAAAGAGCTGTGAACAAAGAGTAGGGTTGGCGGAGGTCCTTAGGACGGATGCGTTGGCCACCTCTGGCGGGCTGAGCAGAATTTGCACACGAACCTCTCTGTCCGTGTGGCAGGTGAAGGAAGGACATCCCACTGGCATGCTGCCCCTTCCCACCTCCACTTTCTTGCTTGCCCCAAGGTGTGTCCTAGTCCTGTAGAATTTGTGGGCACGTTCCTGGGGTAGCAGACCCTCACCCTGGGTTCTTGTCTCCACAGGGACATTTGCATGACCGCTACGGACAGCTGGTGAATGTTTACACCAAACTCTTGCTGACCAAAATCTCCTTCCACCTCAAGGTAGTTTCCTTGGGACACGCGGGGATGGAGGGAGGGACCTTGGGCTTTCATCTCTGAGACGTCCTGGAAAGCCTCCAGGTGGGATCTCCTGTGTCCTGATATTGACCTGAGGGGACCTTAAGAGTCTGAGTACCTTGAGGCATTTCCCGCTGATGCTCGAGGTGGTCTCAACCTTGCCCTTGGCTCTGGGCAGCCCCTGGCCCTGGTCCCTGGGCTCTCCTGTTACCCACAGCCCCCCTCAGCCAGTGCCCAGGGCAACTGAGGGCATCCCCGGCCTCGTCTCCTGTCCTCAGAAGCCAGAACCAGTTCTGGGCTGGGGCCAGCAAGGGCCTCACCTGAGTCGGGGTATTGTCTCTGTAGCACCCCCAGTTTCCTGCGGGCCTGGAGGTGACAGACGAGGTGCTAGAGAAGACTGCTGGGACCGATGTCAACAACATGTGAGTTCCTCCGGACAGTGCAGCCACCTGGTGCTACTTCCTTTCTCGCTCAGTTTCCCCGATGGTTCCTGCAGCATTTCACACTCCGGGTCCCACGTGGGTGGGTGCTCGTCGTGGCTGGCTGAGGCTAGGGGTTCTGCTTCTCAGGGAGCTGGGGTTTATTTGGAATCGGGAATGTTTGGCTGCCCTCTGCAGAGGCATGTGGATAAACTCTGCTCCCTCTTCCCATCCGGGTGGTCTCTGGGATGAGTCCCCTGCCCCTCCACTCAGCCCCCCGCCTTCCCCTCCATAGCTTCCAGCTCACCGTGGAGATGTTTGATTACATGGACTGTGAGCTGAGGCTTTCTGAATCAGGTAAGCCAACCGAGGAGGAGGAGGCCTGGCCTGCTAGAATCCAGTGATTCTCGGTGCTCACTGCCAGATGCAAAGTTAGCCTAACCAACTTACTGTGCTCCTGGCAGGAGTGAGTAACAGGGGACTCCAGGTGCCCCCAGGACATGGGGAGACCTGTTCACTGCCCCTGCAGAGTGGCAGTCCCCAGGGGTGTGTCCCGGGCATGGTGCTGTCAGGTTCCTGACCCCGGCTACCCCTGCCCAGCCTTGAGTATCTACAGAGCCCACCCCAGAGAGAGTTCGTTTTGGTCATCTTGCCTGTGTCCTGCTATAAAAGGCCTGTGAGTCATGTCGGACTTCCCAGCCCAGGAACCTGGCTGCTGCTGGACAGGAAATCTCAGAGGGTTTACCTTCCTAGGGCTGCAGAGGGGATTGTTCTGGGCGGCAACTTCAGGACATCTTGTTGGGTAACTCAGTGCTCTTTAGAGGAGAACGAGTGGCAAATGCCTTTTTAATGGAAGATCTAGACTTAGAGGTGGGTCTGGGCAGCCTCCTGGCATTCCTGCATCTGGACTTAGAGCTGTGCCCAGAGGAGCCCAGGTCCCACCAGGGAGTGAGGCTGTCAGCCTATGACTGGCAGAGATGAGCCATGCCTCCCCCAAGAGGGAAGGTAGAGAAAATCCCTCAGTGGAGAAATGGTTTTGCCTTGTATAAAACCCAAAATGGTATTTTACGTGTGTTTCAGTTTTTACAGGAAAATGCACTTGATGTGACATGTTAAGGTTTAGAAAGGTGAAGGACCATCCTTAGCTGCTGCGTCCTCCTCATCCCTTTCCTCCTGGGCATTCTTGTGTCACTGTGGAGGTTTAAATGGTCCCACCCTGGGCCATGTGAGCATAGAACCCCAGGGCCTGCGGCCCGACATCTGGAACAGTGTCCTGGCATCTGTGGTGTGTGTCGGCCATGCTGGCATGTGGTCTGCCCATTGTCATTTCTCTCTCTGCCCTGGAGAAGAGGCTGATCACAGTGGGGGCACCCTCATGTTTGTCTCTTTCCCTCCTAGTTGGCTGATCTGATGAAAGGTTTGATTGTCAGGGACAGAGGAGACTGACCTCGGGTGCAAGTGAGGTTTTGGGGTCACTTGGGGTTTGCAGAACTGAGTCCTGAGCTGGCTGCCGTATAGTTGACTTCTCTCCCCATAGTTATAAGATGAGGCACTTGGCTACACAGCCTTGAACCTCCTTGTTTCCCTGACACATAGGGGGAGCTTGAGGCCCATGGGTACAGGACCATCCGAGGCTCCTGTCTCTCCACCCCCTTGGCTTGGGCGCACTGCGTAGAGGCTGTCAGGAAGCCCTGGCCTCACAGAGCTGTATTCTAATTGCCCGGACTTGCCGTTGCCCTCGTTTGTGGGGACCCTGGGGCTCAGTCTGGGGCAGCCACAGCACAGGGGGCTCTCCTCTCCTAGCTGTTCAGAGCATGTTTGTGTCTAAGGGCATGGGGCAGAGTTATCCTGCCTGGCTGGGACTGGCAAGGCAGGTACCCGGGCCATCACCTCCAGGGGTTGTTCGGACAATGCCCTGAGATGGTGTGGGGCCCGCAAGCCACCGCTGTTCTCACGGTGGCTGTCACTGAGGCTGCATGGCTCCCCTGTGCTCACGCTCCTCCCTCCACCTCTGTTTGCAGTTTTCCGGCAGCTCAACACGGCCATTGCCGTGTCCCAGATGTCCTCGGGCCAGTGCCGCCTGGCTCCCCTCATCCAGGTCATCCAGGACTGCAGCCACCTCTACCACTACACAGTCAAGCTCATGTTCAAGCTGCACGCCTGTAAGTCCCCCAGCCCCCAGCACCCTGCCGCAGGCCCCCAGAGGTTCAGCTGGAGCACAAAGGGCTGTGTTTAAGCAGCTTACGTTGATAGACATTTACTGCAGCAGAGATGAAAATAGAGACCTTTCTTAAATACTTATTAATTAAATGTAGCAAAAATAAATTCATTACCCATTAATGTAACAGCATAGTTGTTACAGAAAATCACTGTTTTCCAACACAAAGATTTATCAAGAAGAGGGGCAGAGCTTTCCATGTTGGCACTTCTCTGAAAGGCCTGGCCTCCGGGGAGGCAGCGGGTGTCTGCGTTCAGCTGCCACGGCATCTCACGTCCTGCGGACTGGCACAACAAGTCCAACATGGCCCATGTCCCCTCCTTCGTGTTCATGAGGGGTTTGGCCCTGGCGGCCCCCCTGAGGAGGTCTCAGTCACCACATCCCGCTCTGAGAACCACTGGTCTGGGGTGTGTAAGCTGTTTGAATGCTGTCGGCCCAGGCTGGAGTCCAGACGCAGCTTTGCAGTGCGCCCACGGGCAAGCTCGGCTTCGGTTTGCTGTGGTCAGGATGCTGACTTGCATGAACCTGTTCCCCTTCTCACTCAAAGTTGAGAGCTGAACCCCCACAGAGGCCTTACATCACTCTCCCAGTTGGTTTGTGGGCCTGGACAGGCAGTAGGTGCTCTCTCCTCTCTGATGGTTTCTAGAACGTGATGGAGCAGGGTGGGAGGGGGAAGGAAGGATGTTGAGTCTTTGCAAACTGCAGAGCAGGGGGCAGAGAGGAAGTCCTGTCGCACGTCACTGCCCTCAGGTCTCCCAGCAGACACCCTGCAAGGCCACAGGGACCGGTTCCACGAGCAGTTCCACAGGTACAGCCCGGGCAGAGAGGAGGCGCTGGGGCCTGGTGAGCTGGGGCTGCCTGGCTGGGCCTGGCTCGTCCGTGACCTCGCATCTTCCCCCACAGCCTCAGAAACTTCTTCCGCAGAGCCTCTGACATGCTGTACTTCAAGCGGCTCATCCAGATTCCCCGGCTGCCCGAGGTACCTGCCATCCTCCTGAGACTGGCCCTGGGCTGCATCCTTGTTCCCTCTCTGGGCATTCAGAAAACCCTGGGGGGTCCCCACATGGGCTCTGGGGATGGCTGAGGGGGGCTTCTTCCAGGTGCCACAGGCAGTTCCCACACATTGCACCCCCCACCCCCCAGGGACCTCCCAACTTCCTGCGAGCCTCAGCTCTAGCTGAGCACATCAAGCCTGTGGTGGTGATCCCCGAGGAGGCCCCCGAGGATGAGGAGCCGGAAAATCTCATTGAGATCAGCACGGGGCCCCCGGCTGGGGAGCCAGTGGTGAGGCCCCCCTCTTCCCATTAGGTGTTGGGAACCTGGGCCTCCCTCTGTGCCCCCTCCCTTGGCCTGGGGGTAATGGCAGTGGGTCACCATGCTTGTGTGGCAGGTGGTGGCTGACCTCTTCGAGCAGACATTTGGACCCCCCAATGGCTCCTTGAAGGATGATAGGTGAGGGCCCCGGGTGCTGCCTGCGGTGGGTGCTCTGTTGTCAGGACCCAGCTTGAAGGCCATTTGTCTCCAGGGATGTGCAGATCGAGACCCTGAAGAGAGAGGTGGAGGCACTCCGGGCAGAGCTGGAGAAGATCAGATTGGAGGTGAAGACGTGGGGCCAGGCTGTGTGGTACCCCCCGCTCCCCCACTGGTGGGCAGGACCTCCATGATGCTGTCCCTCTGCTGAGCAGGCCCAGCGCTACGTCTCCCAGCTAAAGGGCCAGGTGAACACGCTAGAGGCTGAGCTGGAGGAGCAGCGGAAGCAGAAGCAGAAGGCACTGGTGGACAATGAGCAGCTTCGGCATGAGCTGGCCCAGCTGCAGGCCGCCCAGCAGGAGGGCGAGCGGAACCAGGGCCTGCGCGAGGAGGCCGAGAGTGCGTGAGCAACACAGAGTGCAGGGGTGCAGGGATGCGGGGCAGCCAGTGGGTGGGTGCCTGGGTCCACCGCCTCACATGTCCTCTGCAGAGAAGGCCAGTGCCACAGAGGCGCGCTACCAGAAGCTCAAGGAGAAACACAGTGAGCTCATCAGCACACACGCCGAGCTGCTCAGGAAGGTAGGTGGGGGCACAGCCGTGGCAGCCAGTGCTGAGCACGGTTGGCTAGAGGACCGCAGGCCCCAGTGGCGGTGGTGGAGCAAGACTCTGTACCCTACCTGTGCAGAACGCAGACACAGCCAAGCAGCTGACAGTGACACAGCAGAGCCAGGAGGAGGTGGCACGGGTGAAGCAGCAGCTGGCCTTCCAGATGGAGCAAGTGAAACGGGAGTCGGAGATGAAGGTGTGGCCACAGCTGTGGCGTCCCTTCCCCTGACCCTCACCCTGCCCCACTGCTCCCCGCCCCTCCCCGCCGTGACACCCTGTCCTGTCCCAGCTGGAGGAGCAGAGTGACCTGCTAGAGAAGCTCAAGAAGGAGCTGGAGGCCAAGGCGGGAGAGCTGGTGCGCACACAGGAGGCCCTGACTCGCACTGAGCAGGTATGGCTGCCATGGTGGGGTGGCCTCCCAGGAGCCAGCAGGACAGGAGTTAGGGTCCTCCTTCCTGTGAACATGGCCATGCCCAGATGTCCCTAGGTTGAATCAGAGCAGTCCTGGGGTGCAGCTCTGACTCAGCACAAGGGGGACACAGGAAACGGGCCCAGACTATCAGCAAGTTCTCAGTCTAAGGGGAGAATGATGACAACATGGCTCTCAGGAATTGTCTGTACATTCGGGTGGGGGCGAGGGGCGGGTGAGGTCTCCGAAAGCCCTACTCACGTCCCTGGCGTTCACAGAGCGGATTGGAGCTGAGCTCGAGGCTGGATGCGCTGAGTGCAGAGAAGGCTGCGCTGAGCAGTGCTGTGCAGCAGCGGGAGGCGGACCTCCTGGTGGCCCAGGGCCTGGTGCAGGAGAAGGAGGAGGCGCTGAGCCGCGAGCAGCAGCGCAGCTCCCAGGAGAGGGCTGAGCTACAGGGGCAGCTGGCAGACAAGGTAACAGCATCCCCTGAGCCCACTCAGCGGGTGAGGGCGCGGGTCCCAGCGTGTCCACACTGTATTTCTGGAACATTTTACCACTCTGAGAGGAAACTACCTGCTAAGCAGCTAATCCCCACCTGCTGCCAACAGTCCCGGCCCCTGGCATGCTCTCACCTGCTCTCTCTGGATTGACCTATGCCAGACATTGCTCATAGATAGGCCTGCACGATAGGACTGGCGTCTCCCACTGAGCAGTGTTTACAAGGTTCCTCCGTGTGCCACGGCCCAGTAATATTCCATCACGTGGACAGGCCGAATTCTGTTTATCTGTTCATTGTTAAGGAGCGTTTGGCTTCTTTCCACCTTTTGGCTGTTGATGCCGCCAGGACCAAGTGCTGTGCCGTTTTCATTCCCGCCAGGAGTGGATGCGGTTTCCTACCTCCCTACATCCTTGACAGCACATGTTGTCAGTGGTTTTCCTTTTAGCCACCGTCGCGGGTGTGAGGTGGTAGCTTATTGTGATTTTGCCTTGCATTTCCCTAAGGGTTAAGGATGTTGAATATCTTTTGTGTGTTTGTTGTCTTTTGTGTATCTTGGGGAGAAAGGTTTGTTCAGATCCTTTGCCTACTTTTTAACTAGGGTGTGTCTTTTTATTGCTGAGCTGTCTCCTCTGCTCCCAAGGAGCAGCCCAAGCTCTGGGGTCAAGTGGCGGCTCCCCTCAACCCCCCCCCCACACACACACAATGAGGGTCCCAGCCGGCCACTGCGGGTCTCTAAGCTGCCTCTCCTCTCCCACCAGGAGTGTCAGGAGGAGGAGCTGCAGCAGAGGCTCCTGGACGAGCAGTTTGCAGTGCTGCAGGGCACTGCCACTGAGGCCGAGCGCATCCTGCAGGACGCTGTGGCCAAGCTCGACGACCCCCTGCACCTGCGCTGCACCAGCTCCCCAGGTGAGGCTGCAGGGCGGGCACTCAGGCCATTGGGGCCTTGCCTTTCCTTCGTTGCCTGGATGGGTGCGCAGCCCACCCTAAGAGAAGTGGCATTAGGGCTCTGGGGCCCCTGGCAGGCTCCACCCCTCACCACTTCTCCCCGTGCTTGCAGACTACCTGGTGAGCAGGGCACAGGCAGCCCTGGATGCTGTGAGTGCCCTGGAGAAGGGCCATGCTCAGTACCTGAACTCCAGGTCAGGTAAGTGGGGCGGTGGGGAGACTGGAGGGACCCAGGCAGGCAGGGCAGAGGCCCCGGCTGGGGGTGCCCAGTCTGCTGGCCATGGCTGCCTCCTGCCACTGTGGAGTTTCTCAGAGCCGTGCCCCCATCCACACCCACTGGGAGCCCAGTCCTGCCCGCTCTGTGAACCTGGGGTCACTCAGACATAGCTTTGTTCCCTACTTGGCTGCAGTCTAGCCACTTGACTGTGGCCCCTCCAAGCCTGCCTCTTCTCCATAAACTGGAGCTGTGGCACCCATTGGGCTTGCTGGGCAGAGGACACAAGCAGCCTGCTGTAGGCCCCAGTCTGGGCCTTGCTCCATGGCAGTGGCATAGGGTTTGTCTCTCCTTTCCACACAGATACCTCTGTGCTGGTGGCAGCCCTGACCCAGTTCTCCTACCTGGCTGCAGACACCATTATTAATGGCAGCGCCACCTCCCACCTGGCCCCCACCGACCATGCTGACCGTAAGTGCACGCCAGGCTTTACTCACACACGGTGCCCACAGGGGACCCAGGGTCCTTGTGTCAGACCTAGTGCGGGGCCTTCTTCCAGGGCTCCCAGGTGCCTGGCCCCCTGACAGTGCTCTTTCCCCAGGCCTGATGGACACGTGCCGGGAGTGTGGGGCCCGGGCTCTGGAGCTCCTGGGTCTCCTGAAGGAGCAGCAGACTCTGCCCCTGGCCCAGCCCAGCCTGGTGGGGAACCCCCTACAAAGCATCCTTCAGCTGGCCCAGGTGAGGTGTGCAGCCATGGCACAGCCATGGGCTGGTGTCTGGAGGGGTGATGATCCTGGGGTGAGGCTTGGGTCCCCAATTTCTCTGCACCTCCTTTTAGTTTGGGCTGAACAGGTGCTCTTGTGCAGAGCTGGCAGCTGGAGGACACTGGGCAGGGACAGAGCACCGCCCCCCAGCATGCTGCTGCTCTAGCCTCTCCCAGACTCCTTCAGGAGTCCACCCGTCTGACTCCTACATGCCCTCTTCCCCAGGAGCTGAAGCCCAAGAGCCTGGATGTGCGTCAGGAGGAGCTTGGGGCCATGGTGGACAAGGAGATGGCGGCCACATCCGCTGCCATTGAAGATGCTGTGAGGAGGATTGAGGTGACGACTGGGGGCTGGGCTGGGCCAAGTGTAGGCTGTGGCCACCTCTGCACCCCCTCTGTGCTTGGGCAGGTGGCCTCTGCAGGTTGCAGCTGGCTTTTCTGCCTAGGGCCGCCCCCTGCACCCCCTGCCCTGTCTCCCTCCAGCCTCTTCCTCCTCTCCCTCCCCAGCTGGGTGGTTGTTTGGGGGGTGTGGGGCTGGTCCGGCACCGCATCCCCCTTCCTCCCACACTGCCCCCCTCCCAGCCTGCTCACAGCTCTGTCACTGGGTGTAGGACATGATGAACCAGGCTCGCCATGCCAGCTCCGGGGTGAAGCTGGAGGTGAATGAAAGGTGAGCCTCATGCCCCTCCACCCCCGTCCCCCCAGAATCCAGGGTGTTCTGTCCTGCTTGCTCAGCTCTCCAGAGGGGACTGGAAACAATCAGAGCACACCCTGCCCCATGGGCCCACCCTGCTGAGCACCTGTGTCAGGCCTGGTAGTTGTTCAGAGGTCACACTCCCTGGGGTCACCCTGTAGAATCTTTTCTCTCTCTTCACCTGCTGCTTCTCCCCGTCAGGATCCTCAATTCCTGCACAGACCTGATGAAGGTGAGTGGTTGGCTGGGATCCCAGGATAGATGATGTGCCTGGGAAAGCCGCCCCGAGAATGACCTGTGCCTTGGTCTTGGCAGGCCATCCGGCTCTTGGTGACAACATCCACCAGCCTGCAGAAGGAAATTGTGGAGAGTGGCAGGGTGAGTGGGGGGGGGGGGGCCTTCCTGTCAGGCCATGAGGCTGGGCCAGCGAGGGCCAGATTCCTGAAATGGGCGTGACCTCAGAGCCCTCCTCATCCCAGACCACGATCCAGGATCCCCCATCCCCAGTGGCTTCAGCTGACCTCCTGGCTCCTTTGGGTATGGGCTTCCTGGAGTGTGAAGTGATGAGGACCCCCCTCCCCAGAATGCACACAATGTGCCCAGGAGTCACACCTGCATCTCCCCCATGGCCCACGGATGTCCCCTCGTGGCTGAGGTGACAGAGGGGCCCCTGTGGGGATCCATTGCCCCGTGACGTCACTGACTGGCCCACCTTTCCCTGCCTTCCTGTCGCCACTAGGGGGCAGCCACGCAGCAGGAGTTTTATGCCAAGAACTCTCGGTGGACTGAAGGCCTCATCTCTGCCTCCAAGGCTGTTGGCTGGGGAGCCTCACAGCTGGTGTATGTCGCCCCAGGTGGGGGGGGCAGCAGGGTGTGTGGTGCTCGGGGTCTCGGGGAGGGAGTGTGGCGGTGGCTTGGAGACCCAGGCCCTGCCCGGCTCTGTCTGCAGGGAGTCAGCGGACAGGGTGGTGCTCCACATGGGCAAGTACGAAGAGCTCATCGTCTGCTCCCACGAGATCGCAGCCAGCACAGCCCAGCTTGTGGCCGCCTCCAAGGTGAAGCTCTGTGCGTGGTGGCCTCTAGCCTCGGCCTCGACTCTGGGCTGTGCCAGGAAGTGCGCGTGATGAGGGGGGGTGAGCCTGACCTGCCCCCACATGCCCCCAGGTGAAGGCGGACAAGCGCAGCCCCCACCTGAGCCGCCTCCAGGAGTGTTCCCGCACCGTCAACGAGATGGCTGCCAATGTGGTGGCCTCTACCAAGTCAGGCCAGGAGCAGATTGAAGAAAGAGGTGAGTGTGGGTCCTGGTAACAGCTGGGTGGGGGTGGGCGTGGGCACAGACACTCACCCCCTGCCTGCTCTGGCCGCAGACACCATGGACTTCTCTGGCCTGTCCCTCATCAAGCTAAAGAAGCAGGAGATGGAGACCCAGGTGCGTGCCTATTCCTCTTCGGGGACTGAGCTCCGGGCGGGTGGGGAGGACAGGCCGTGAGGCTACCCTGAGTGGGCATGCGGGGCTGCAGGTCCGTGTCCTGGAACTGGAGAAGACGCTGGAGGCAGAGCGTGTGCGGCTGGGAGAGCTTCGGAAGCAGCACTATGTGCTGGCTGGTGCCGTGGGGACACCCAGTGAGGAGGATCCGGGCCGACCCAGTGCTGCCGCCCGCAGCGGGGCCTCCAAGAAGCCACCCCTGGCCCAGAAGCCCAGTGTGGCTCCCCGGCAGGACCACCAGGTGCCAGGCGTCAGCACTGGGCAGGGAGGGGCCCTGGGGGTAACGTCTCTGTCGCTGCTCCCTGGTCTGCAGGGCACAGGGCCTTGGGAAAGTGGGGAAAGTTAGAAAACTCTGACAGGAGCAGAAATGCTGCCCCAGGAGCATGGGGTGGGGTGGGAGGCTTGCCCAAGGGAGAGATGCAGGGGACCGAGGGTGGCTAGGGTGTCTGGGGCCTGGCCATGTCCGCTGAGCCCCTTCCTTTGACTCTTGCAGCTCGACAAGAAGGATGGCGTCTACCCAGCTCAACTCGTGAACTACTAGGCTCCCGAGGGGTCCAGTGGGGAGGCTAGTGGGCAGGCCTGGGCCTCGTGTGGCTGCCCCAACTTGGCTGAGAAGCCTCCAAGGGCTGTGGTCCCCTGCCCCACAGCCAGGCCCAGCGTCCCCGGCCCCAGCCCTTGCTGAACCCAAAGGATCAGAGATAGGGATGGTTCTCCCGGACGTGAGTCTATCTGCAACAGGCACCCAGAGCAGCCAGGACCGAGCAGGCCTGAGCCACAGATCTTCAGGAAATCTATGGAACATTTGTCATAATCTGAGTTAGAGCTTTCCTTCATGAGTCTGTATTGTAGTCACCCTGGGAAGCAGGGCCTCCCCTGCCTTTTGAACTCAAGGTCTGAGGTTAATAATGGAGAGCGGGTCCACGCTGGCTGCCAGGGATGTAGGCAAGATGTCACCTATTTGTAGCCTCCTCAGGGGCACCAATTCCACGGAGACGGGCCTCGGGTGGACTCAGGCAAAGACGACTGCTCCAGAGCAGCCTAGGGCTACTGCCCGTTCTCCTTGGGCCTCCCTCTAAGGCCTGAGTGATGGGAGCAGAGGGTGTGACCTTAGTGTGGAGAGAGGCAGGCCCAGCACTGCTGCCAGGCAGGGCAGATGTGGTGGCCGAGACCCCCACCCCATGGGCACTGGTGCTGTGCCGCCACCACTCCTGCTGACATCTGTGCTGACCCTCCTGTTTCCTGGTGTTCGTGCCCCTGCTCACTGCTCCTGCCCTGGACGCCCCCGTTCTGCGTGTTCTGGTCACCCTCCCCGCACCCCCACCTCCACCCTCTCCTCCCTCCTGAAGGCCTCCCGGGGAACTAGGATGTCTGCCTGCCACCCTCCAGGCTGAGGGCATCTTGCGCCCCACAGGAAGGGGGCCACCTGGCAGTTGAGCCCTAACCTCACCCCACCCTTGGCCTCCTGGACCCCACTTGGAGGATTTGTGAGACTGGGTGTTCCTTGAGCCCCCACCCCAACTCCAGGGAGTGGTTGTGGGGAGGAAGGGAGGGACCAGCAGCATAGGCTCTGGGAACTCTGCCCCTGCCCCGAGGTGAGGCAGTCTGGTCCCTGCCAAGGTCTGGAGAGCAGCAGGGAGCCGGCTCTTTTGCTTTGCCTTTAGTATTTCCTTGTTGGAGGAGTCCGATTGGCAATAAAACTCACTTGGACTGCTGCCCTCCGGTGAGGGGCCCCGCCGGGCTGTTCCTTTCTCAGGGGCCAGGACCTGCCCCACGGGGTGGGGGATCACTTAGTTTCTGCAGGTGTCAGAGCCCTTGGAGCCACGGAAGAGCTTGCTAGAGCTGCTGCTGGTTCTGCCAGGAAGCGCCCTGGCCCGGCTCCTGGGGGGTTTGGGACGGATGCCCGGATGCCCGTGTGGGGAGCCGTGGCTTGGGGCTTTCCGCCCTGGCCTCCACTCACAGCTGAGCCCCCCTCCCCCGGGGGTTCTTGTCCCTGCTCCCCCAGGCTGCTCAGAAACCACACTGCTTTGGGAAGGGAGGAGGGACCATGGAGTCCTTGCAGTTAAGAAGGGCCCAAGTCCAGGCTGGGTGCTGCCGACCCGGACTCCTAGCTGGTCCGGACTTGGCCGGCATGGCTACACCCAGCCTCCCACGGGGGCGCCTAGCAGGCCTCTGGGTTCCCGGGAGCACAGCCAGCTGTGCAGGCGCGCACTTCCCGGGCGTGCACCAGGCGGCTAGGCCTTGCGCACCGCTCTCAGCACGCCCCTGCCCCCGCGGGCCACCACCATCTGTGGAACAAAGACGGTGCTGGTCAGGGCAGGAGAGGGTGGGTAGCCGGAGTCCCACTCCCTGGGCCTGGCTTTCCCGAAGGAGGGGATGGGGCCCCGCCGCCCTCCAGGCTGGTTGGGGGGCGTGCGTGGGGTTGTCAGAGTGCGGGGTTGTCGGTGCTTTGTCAACTCCGTAAAGGGGGGAATGGAGGAGCTGGTGTCTGGTTCTCCTTTGTAAGGGCAAACAGCTTCAGAGAAGCCGTTAAAGCAGATCATTGGCTCCACCCAATACAAACCAGTGAAAATTGGCAGGAGTTGACTACACTCACTTGATCCAAAGAAACGTTAGCCTGTTTGACATAAGTCCTCAGTGAGCAAACCTTTAACTGGAAGCCCCAACCGAGAAGCCCCTGGTCTGATCTCCACACCCCCGCCCCCCAGTGCCTCCGGACCCTCCCAGAGGCGAGGACCAGACAAGGCTAGCGCAGCCCAGTCTAGCGCGTGTCCCCACGGCAGGCTACAAATTTGGAAACTTCCTCAGCAGCTGCTGGAGAAAGAGAAACTATCTCAGATTCTAAGAAAAGCGTTTGCCTTCCTCCCGGGCCAGCGTGCACCAGAGCGTCCACAGGGCTGTTCCCACTGCGCAGTGAGCAAGGCCCCTGCCCTCAGCCGGGGGTGGGGGGGTCGGGGGGTGGCAGGTCCTTCCCCAGCTTCGAGAGGGAAGCAGCACAAACTCCCCCTGGGACTACTGCCTCTGGGGGGTCCCCGCTCCGGAACAAAATGTCACCCATTCACTTCTGACTTTCCAGGAGCGGCGCAGTCCATGGACTAGGCCGTGGGCTGGGCTAGGGAGACGCTGAGCCCAGAGGGCACCGGCCGCCCTGTGGCCGCCGCCTCACACAGGGCGGTAGCGTATGCCCTTCTGCCCTTCAGTCATGTCCAGGAGAACCTGGTAAACAGCCTTTTAAGCTACTAGTGCCAGGTGAAGGCAGACACTTCGGCCAACTTGGGTGGCTTTTTAACGGACACACAGCTTCCCTCAGGAACCTCTGACCACTGAGAATCTAAAACCAGACACACCATGACCATCCCCAGGTAAATAAATGACAGGACCATTGTTGTTTCTCTATTTATTAAAAAGGGTCCTACAGCTTTACAACCCCGGCTCAGGCCTGGCCCTGCAGAGCCACGCAGCCAGCCCGGCAGCCCCTTCCCCACATGGTCTGGCTGCGCCCCGGGGCAGCACCCACCAGGAGGGCAGGCAGCAGAGGGATCAGGGAGGAGCGGGCGCACCTGCTGGGCAGAGCAGCAGCTGGCCCCCTGCAAAGGAGCCCGGGCCGGGAGGCGGCCTCGCTCCCGGCCTGCTGGGGCCGACCCTGGTGGAGCTCTGCCTGAATTCTGGCACCTGGGCAGGTGAGACCCCAGAGGGCCAGGAAGAGCGGTGTTGGCACCCTCTGCTGATCCTGCTGCTGGCCGCCTCCAAGCTGAGATGCTGCTGGAGTCCTGCTGTCCCACTTCTGCCCCGAGGCCCCGTCAGGGGAAGAGAGAATTGGCTACGAAGACGCGGGGACGCCAGGCTGCTTCCGCTTGGCAACTTCATGAACACAGACAAGCCCCGCCCTGGGAACGTAAAGCTGCTCACGAGAGCTACCCCTCCCAGCCTGGGGGCCTGCAGGAGAGCCGGGGCTGCACCCTCACTGGCACCAGGGGAAACTAAGGCACAGCACAGGCCCCCACAGGTGTGACCACACACTGCTTGTAAAAAAGGAAATTGCATTCACTTCTGTACTTCAATCTGCTCCAAATACTATGTGCATTTTTATAAAGTTTCCCTGAATGATCCTGTGTCCAAAAAGTTCTTTGCCAATATAAAATAGGAACATTACAGACGTAGTAAAAATATTGGAGTAGTTCTTTGTAGAAAGGCTCGGGGGCTGGTCCAGGCAAGAGAGAGTGGGGGAAGGAGCTGGGACACCCTCTGCTGTGCAAAGTCCAGCTCAGACCCATCTCTGCCCCCCTGGCTGCAACTTGCCCAGCCTCTGGACCTGGCGGTGGGCCCAGTGCAAACTCCACAGGGGCTTCGAAGCATCCAGATGTGGGGGGAGGGGTGATGGGCACCCCCTGTCCACAGATTCAGGAAGCACCTTCCAGGCTGGTCCCCTGACCAACCTTGACCAGAGATAGTGGTGGGCTAGGCCACACAGCACTGTCTTTTGCTAACAAAGTGGAAACGATGGAGCATGCTCGTTAAACAAAGCTGCAAAGGAAGGACCACACTTCTAAATGAGACTGGGGGTGGGGGGGAAGGACACACTCTTCCCCCAAACTTAGGAGTCCATCAACACTACAAGACTTAGGGATCATACTGAACACATACACCAGTGCGACCGTGGAGATGCCAGGCTGAAGCCTCGCACACACAAGCCCCTGGGGCCAAACCTGGGTTCTAGGTCTACTTACCGCTGACCTACAGTTCTAAAATCAAATGGATGTGCTGCCCCAAGGCACCGGCGCCCTGGTCCTCGCAGCCTGTGCGTGCAGAGCCCTGGCCAGCAGGTGCAGCACAGCCTCCCAGGAGGATGGAGGCGGCTCACTGGAGGATGAAGCCTGGCTGGTGTGGAGGCAGCCGGGGCGGGGGTCTCTGGGGAAGAGCAGGTGGGTATGGAGACATGAACTGTGCAGAGAATCCTTGCTGGGGGGGCAGGCCCGTGCGGGGGGGCAGAGGAGGGCACTGTGATCCTGGGTAGGGAAGGGTGGGTCCTGAGGCCATGGCGGTGGTAAATGGCGTGGCCAAACGTCCTGCAGGCACCGGGGGCGGTGGCGGGGGGATGCGCCGAGGTAGCACGGAGGGGGGCCCACTGGCCTCTGAGGTAGGGTAGGGCAGGGGGGCTGCAGGGGCTGGCTCGGGCACCCTGGGCAGCAGCGGGGCTGGCGCCGAGGCCTGCGGGAGTCTCTGCCCCTTCAGCACCAGCTCCTGGAGCTTCTCGATTTTCACTCTTCGTGTGTGGGCCAGTTTCCGCTGGCTTTGATAGACATCGATGAAGGAATCCAGAGGAAGCTCTCCATCGAGAAACTTCTCAGCCATGTTCTGAAAGAAGCAGGACAAAGCTGATGACAGGGACAGGTCAGCTCTTAGGGAAGGAAGCTCCCTTCACCACCCAGAGAGCGGCCACACCCAGTTTCCTTCTATCACCCACCCATGCCCCACTTATCCCACGTGCAACACTGTAGACCCTGGCTGACCTCGGAGGAGCTCCCCACCCCCACCAACCCCTGGCAGAGAAAGGGACAGATGGTCATGACCACTCGCTGCACCCCATAAGCTTGACAAGGCAGCAGGCCTTAAGGGGGCCTGCCTGAGCGGAAGGGAGTCTCTCGGTAGCCCTGAGCGGCCGGGCTTTGAGGCCCAGAGGAAACCACTGTAGCCACTTGCCACCCTCTCACCAAGCCAGCTGGAGTCCGTTTCCTTCCTTCCACTGGCTGCACCCTGACAGGCCCTGAGACCGGGTCAGCAGGAGAGCCGTGCTCATGCCCCTACCCAAGCCCGGGATGAATTCAACCACTGGTATAGAGTGGCAACACGCCACCCACCTCAATTTGCTACGTCTGCACAACTTCAGACCTTGACTCATGGCCTTACCTGCTTTGTGAGGCTCAAACCTTGAGTGCTCAGCAGGCCACCTCTTACAGGCTCTGCCCAGCCCGTGGCTTCAGAGCAGACCCTAAGTTGGCTGCCTTGGGGCCGTGCAGACTCTCAGTCCAGTGCACACCCCTTGCTTGAGGACCAGACCCACCAGAGCCACCTGGCCTGGGAGGTGTGGCCCTCGGGCTCTGGAAAACTGGCCTTCTGGCTGCCCAAAGTGGCCCCTACCCTGATAACTGTGCTCTGGGGCACTGCGCCCATGTCGCTGTCTTTACCTCAGTGTCTTCCTCAATCTTGGCCCCTTCTGCCTGAAGAAGTGCCAGCAGGGTCTCCAAGGAAGCGCTGCTAGACTGCTTATCTGCAAGAAGCCATAGGCGTGATAAGAGAAGGGGGCATCTGGACACACACTCAGAAACCACTGAGAGCTCCAGCCCCTCAGAGCGACACGCTCCCCCAGACTCCTAGTCACCCTCCTTTCAAAGAAAAGGCGCTTTAACTGGAAAGGTAATGGGAGAGTCACACCTGAGAGCTGGCTTTCCAGGAAGCTGAAAGTCAAGGCCTTAAAATCCAAGAGAGGAAGGCATACACAGGACAAACTCAGGGTGGCACTATGTGTCCCACACCCCATGTTGCCATGGGCTCTACAGAGGGCTGTCACCCAACACAAACCAGCCCACGTAGATTTCCTTCATATTTCTTTTTTTTTCTTCATATTTCTGAGTGATAATTTACATAAATAGATGTAACTTAAGCCAATGACCTAAATCTTTACAAATGTATAAACCCCAACCCCCTCCCCATATCAGGATACAGAACATGTGCAGAGGCTCCCTAGGCCGGCTCCCAGAGACTCCCCCGATACCCAGTCCTGCCTGGTTCAGGACGTCACATGAGCACATCACAGAGGGTGTGCTCTTTGCTGGCTCCTTTCACTCCACACTGTGTCTCTGAGATGCCCTCGTTTCTTTTCAATGTCCATTGTATAGAGACCAGAACTTACTAACCCATCTTTATGTACACAGACATTTCGATGGTTTCCAAATCCAGCTGTTACAAACAAAGCTACTGTGAACATTCTGGGGCCTGTCCGTGGGCAGACGCAAGCACGCCCAGAGTGGACCAGCTGAATCACAGAGTGAGCACAAGTGTCGTTCAGGTAGGTTTTGCTCAACAACCTTTCCCAAGGTGATTTTTACCACTTTACATTACAATTTCCACCCTCCCTCCAAGGGAATAACTCTGGCTGGGCTGCCTGGCTGAGAGCTCTTACTGCAGTGATGCAGAGGCAGAGAGGGAGACCCCCCCACCCCCACCGGGTATCAGACCTCCCCAACAGGGACTCTCCCCAGCCTCACTGAGGGACAGAGCTTTTAACCTTTTCTTCACCACAGCTCCCTTGAAAGCCACCCAGAGCACTCAGGACTCCATGCTCATTTCCTCCAGCTCTTCGTAATGACTAAGTGTGATGTTAAGATGAAATGTCCCCGTGAGGAATATTTCTCAGGACTAACCCCAAGGCCTTAACTACATAGGAGAAGATTTAAATATCATGATTCAGAAAATTACCTTTTCCTAGGCTGTTTAGAGAAGAGGAAATTTTGTTTAAAAAGTGGCCAAGTTTCTTTGCTAAATAGCTAAAATGATCCTGTATATAAAATTTTTCTTTGTGGCATTACTCCGTGTCTCAATCTGCAATTTTTCCATCACAATGCTTCTTTCCTGATAGCCTAACAGCTTGAAAATGTGCCTTCCCTCAACTCTATTATTGAAGGATCACCCAGAAAAAGTTACCTAACTTGGTCTTCTTTATCTGATAGGCTTCAAAGAGAACCTGGAGTTCCTGGTATTTTTGGGTCAAACGTGCTTTCAGGGCATCCAGTTGGGGCTGGTACAGAAGGTTTCCTTCTGCCAGGCTCCGGTTGCTGGCGAGTGTCATTTCCTTGTTAAGCTGAACGTTCTGCGTCTGCAAGGAGCAAGGATGATGAGAACCAACAAGTGTTAGATTGCAGACCCCCCCCCCCCCCAGGTCCCTGTGCCCTGCCCTGGGAGCTGCCCCATCGCCACATGTGCTGGCCACATCTGCTTCTGTTTGGGCTGGTCCCAAGCTAGGACCACCTGCGGGCCACTCTCAGCCAGTCTCCAGCCCCTCTGGGTTTCTAGGTTGGACACAGCTCCCTGTTCTTAAAAAGCAAAGCCACTTCCTTTCTAACAATCTGCAGACAGGCTTTGTCTTGTGACCTGTCAAGTCTCTGCTTCGATAGCTGCGCTGTGGCTGGTATCCCTTACTGCTGCCATTGTGCTGGCAGGAATCAACAGCTGTAAAGATTTAGGGCTAGATTTGTTCAAAACCAGTTTCTGCTGCTCCACAGGAAGTTAAAGAATCACTTTTAACAGCAGAGGACCAGTTGGCAGGGTGTCAATTCTGGCTCAATCATAAGGCTTAGAGATCAAACACAAAAGCCTGACACCCCCTGGGAATGAATTCCGTTTACAGTGACCTTGCTCGCTCTCTCACGCCCACCTCCGGCTCCTCTGTGGCTGAGGGGGAAGGCGGGACTCCAAGCTCCAGACCCAAACTGGGGCCCAGGGGCTTATCTGCCCCCCAGGGGTTGTTTGGGAGAGAAGCCCTGGGGCCCAGACCACAAGGATGAGGGGGGAAATGGAAGGTCTGAAGACAAGGTAAGGAATTCCTAATGAAACTCAGCAAAGCTATGTTTAAACAAAATCCCAAAACCCAAATAGATGAGACACCATCCCTACTGGCTAGTGACAGTCCCCCACTATCACAGCCTGCCCACAGCAACCTCACTGTCTGGACCTGAAGTTTCCACAGCGCACAGTCCTGTCCTGTTAGTCTTTCCCTTGATATTTGCTGCCACCCCACCTAGGCTATTTTTGCCACGACTTCCTTCCTCCTCTCGAGAGTCTGGGTGCAGATTTCCCACTGCACTGCCTCTGCTCTGGCCACACCCACCCAGGACGCCAGCCCAACTCCCAGCACAGCTTGCATCCACTCCATGCACACACCCACTGCACCCATGTACCTGTGCACCCACTGCATACGTGCACCACTCACATGCACGCCTTCGTGAAGTCAGAGAACAAAGCAGCAGCCCTGGCCCCCAGGCTGGGGGCTCCCTACAGCAGACACATGGTCTGTGTCTTTGGCATCTAGGAGCTCAGCACAGGACCCCAAAGATTCAATTCCTTAAAATGGAATTTAAATTAAGGATTTAAATGAAGATAGAAAAATGAGCCTCTAGCTCAACACTACAAAATTAGTGCAGCAGAAATACTCTCTCTTGCTGCTTTTAGCTGGCAGGGAGAATCTAGGGCCCTCATTCAAGCAGGGTTCCTGGCAGTGCAGAGTTCCAGAAGGGCCTCCCTCACCCCTCTTTTCCCCCACCACAGCAGCTCCCCCGCCCTGTGCATTGTATCCTGAGCTCCTGCACAAGAGTCTTTCCTTCCATTGTTTGTTCTTTCAAATGGCTTAACAAACAAACATAAAACTTTGGCCACTTGGGAACACAGCTCAGCAATTTCTTTTAAAACTAAACATGCAGGGACGCCTGGGTGGCTCAGTGGTTGAGCATCTGCCTTTGGCTCAGGGTGTGATCCCAGGATCCGGATCGAGTCCCACATCAGGCACCATGCAGGGAGCCTGCTTCTCCCTCTCCCTGTGTCTCTGCTTCTCTGGGTCTATCATGAAGAAATAAATAAAATCTTTAAAAAATATAAAAATAAACATGCAACTACCATGCGATCCAGAAATGTCCTCCTGGGTGTAGAGGCCGAGAAAAATCAAGGCCATTCCTCCTCAAGTTTAGCGTTAGCGCAAGTACAGCTATCTTAGGCCCCTGTGAATAAGAGCTGAACTTTATGGGAAAAACTGCAGAATGTCCTCAATGTCCCTGGCAGGTAATCCCATATCAGAAAGACAACAGAGCCCATGCCCACGGTACAAAGTCCCATATTAGAATAAGAACAGAGCCCAAGCCAAGGGCAGGAAGCCCCTATTAGAATAAGAACAGAGCTCAATGCCCTTGAAAGCCCCATATCAAAACGTAAACAGAACTTGAGAAATTCCTCCGCCCCTTCTGAAAATCCCCTAGACCAGCCCATAAAAACCCAGCTGTAACCCACTTCGGGGTCCAAGTCCCTGCTCCGCTGTGTCGGGTACACTTGGACCCAAGCTCGAGCTTGCAAATAAACCCTCGTGCGCTTGCATCGGTGTCGGCTCCTTGGTGGTTTCTCGGATTCACAATCTTGGGCACAACACTGGGCATTCACCCTGGGGAAACGCAAAACCCTGTCCATGAACGTTCAATGTGGCTTTATTTGTAACAGCCAAAAACCTGAAGCCACGCAGCTCAGTGGTGGAGAGCTGAACCAAGTGCACCGCATCCACGCCAGGGAACACCTCTCAGTCTTAAAAAAAGAACAAAGTCTGACATTCATGGCAACTTGAGTGAGACTCCAGGGAATTATGCAGTGAAAAAAGCCAGGCCAAAGGGTCACACTCGAGGATTCAGGGTATACAACACTACTGAAATGACAGAGCCCCGGAAACGGAGACAGGTGAGCGGTTGGGGAAGGGACACTGGGACGGGGTGCTCCGCTCTCCCCTATTCTGACCTGGGTCACTGTCCTGGCTGGGAGGGTTCCCAAGGGGTTCCCATGGGGTGGGGAGTGGGTGAGGGACACACAGGATCTCTGTTATTTCTTACAGCCACTGCGAATCTACAACTTCAAGATTTAAAGTTTAATTATAAGTCAACAAACTGCTGATGAGTTTCTTTATACCCTCCACCCCCCACCAGTCTCATCTGCAGGCTGAGAAGGGGAAGGTGCTCAAGGCCAGTCAGGCCCCACCTCCCTGCACCCCAGCCTTCTGGTTCAAGCTTAAGTCTTTGTTCAATAAACATTTACTGGGCAACTATTATTTGCCAGGCCCTGAGTTAGGCCCAGAGCACTAAGAGGAAGAGGAGCACTCCTATGGGCACATAAGCTCAGTTGTCATAAATGGAACAGACCTTAGCATATCCTGATCGCTGGGGCATCAGGTGACCTGGTCCCCACCTGCCCACCAGGGAATGTCTGAAAGCACCCCTAGTCCTTCCCTCCACTGCCTCTGGAGCTCAGGTCTGTTCTTCCCACAGGTTCCTTCCTGCGGTGGAGCCCCAGCATCTGTGTCTTCCCTGCTCATGGTCCCCCCCAACCGGAATACAAACACAGGCAGGATCTTGGTGTGCAAGTACCTAGCGCCTGTCAGCCACTTGGTAAGGATCTGCTGACTGAACCAGAGATCCTTCCCCACCCGCCAAAAGCCAGTCACTTGAGGCCAAGTCCAGCAAATAAGATGGATCACATAATGTGTGTAGGGGGAGGGGGATAGCTGTGTACGTCAAGCAATAAATGCCCCGAATCTCTTACGTAAACAGGCTCCCTTGAAAAAAGTCCTTTGAGACCAAGACTCCTGGTGGCAGAGAGGGGGAAGCGGGTCTCACATTGGATCTAAGACTAATTCCAAAAGCAAGATCTCCATAGGGACCCCTCGAAAGGTGCTGGCATCCTGAAGTGCATAACTGCAGTGTGCTGCTAGAGGACGGCCTGTCCTTCAGCTGTGCGGCTCCACTGCGGCCAGATCTGAGAATCACCTGAAGGGGAAGGGGTGCTGGTTTGAACCCACTACTCGGACCAACCCTGGGACAGCCAGATTCTCCAGGAGGGGACCCAGGCACCACCACTCCAGTCGCAGCATAAAACACATCTACAAAAGAAATCTTATTCTTGTAGGGTCTAAATCAGGTCACAGAAACTCCTAGAAGAGAGCAGCACAAAGCATCACAGGCTAGAAGGGTGGTCTGTTTGCACAGGATGCATAAAGGCTGGCTTAAGCCGCCAGCCAGCAAAAGAGCCAAATACAACTACAACAGACCGCCATCAAAAGCAGTCTGCAATTTTTTATATCCTTTGGGTATTCAGATGTTTTTCCGTAAGTGAATACTGGTAAGTTCTAAGTAGTCACCCAGAGCACACCCGCAGCACTCTCTGGGGGACCACAGCCAGGACAGTGTACAGAGGTAGGGAGCAGCTCCTCAGGCTTCTGATAAAGCGATCCCAACACTCCCATGAGCCTCAGAACTTACCTGGGATGCTGCATTAAGTGCAGAAAAAGACTCTTTCCTCCATAATATTCCTTTCCATTGCTCCAATTAGAAATGGGGAGGAAAGAGTCAGTCTTGTTCTATGATTTGCAAAGCAAAGGAGAGCTGGCCAGAACAGGCCTTGGGGCCCTCTGCGTGGGGATGGCGCACTGGGCAAGGTCCAAGTGGAAGCCACTCTGGGTGACATGTGCCCGGCTCTCCACCTCCCTTAAGACCAACTCCCGCCTTGGTGTCTATGACTGAATCCATGCCATGACTCTGAAAATGCCTGCAGGGGCCACCATGGTTTAGAAGCCAGTCAAGGGCCAACAGATACATGAAATTGAAAACCCTGTTGCCAACTTCTTAATGGTTCTCATTATCCTTTTGCTCAGCCACAGAGAAATCCTCTCAAGGGACACCTGGGTGGTTCAGTAGCTGAGCATCTGCCTTTGCCTGAGGTCGTGATCCCAGGGTCCTAGGATCAAGTCCTGCACTGGGCTCCCTGCAGGGAGCCTGCTTCTCACCCTGCCTATGTCTCTGCCCTCTCTCTGTGTGTCTCTCAGGAATAAATAAATAAATAAATCTTTAGAAAGAAAAAAAAGAAAGAAATCCTTTTAGGAAATAGCCTTGCTGTGGTAAGGAAACATTTTTAAATATGCACTCCACTTCAGTTTCTTTTTCTGCTCATAAAAAAAAAAAAAATGAGACGCAGGACTGTAGCACATAGAGCAGGACCCCATTTCTACAGTTCTGCTTACCTCTGAATAATATATCTTCTTTCTTCTTGTACACCTGTAGTGCTTGATCCACTACA